AAATATCTTGGCGGGAGTGATTTTGAGTCGTGCCCCGAAGGGGAATTTATCACGCCCAAATCAGATCATTTCAAGGGCGGCAGAAGGGTCAAGTGCCCGAGGTACGAGGAGGTGTGCACCATCGCCGCCGATGGCAGCAGCCTCATCAACCTAAAGAAAGGCGACCACGACAATGACGGCCACGGCCATGACGACTACGAAAATGACGATAACAAAAATGATGGCCACGGCAAAGGCGGCCACGGCAAAGGCGACCACGGCAAAGGCGACCACGGCAAAGACGACCACGGCAAAGACGACCACGGCAAAGACGACCACGATGGCTGTGCGGCTGCTGTTGTTCTTTCCAGTCTGCTCCTCGCCGTGATTGCTGCGGTGGTGGTGGCGACGTTGCCGCTTTGAGCAGTGGCCGCAGCAACAGAGCACTTCCTGCAGCGGCAGGGCAATGGTGCCTCGACGCTTCTCACAGAGCAGGCGTCTGCAGCGCGTAGAAACGCAAGATGATTGCTCTTGCAGCCGCCCTATCCCCCTCACCACCCCTGGCCCCTCGTCGGAAAGTAGTTAAAACATGCGTCTCCTGCTGAATGGCGCCGCGGGTGGTGGGGAGGAGAATCGTGCGGTGTTTGTTGGACGTGAGCAAAAAATAAAAATAAAAAATGATGGGGTCCGTTGTTTCTTATACTTCCTTTTTGTTTTTTGCTTGAAGCATCATTCCATAACGGTGCTGATTTGTTTTTATACGCTTCCTCCAGGACAGAACGACTGCAGAACTGGAAACTGCGTATATATTTTCTTTTTTGTTGTTTTTGGTCACGTCTCAGACGGCGCGCCGTCAAGAAGAAGAGGGGGCCGCACACTTTTGCTGGTGCATTGGGCTTCGCCACCTTCTTTTTTGTGTTGACTGTGCGCGGTGGGTGTGCATCTACTTTTGCTTTAAGCGGGTCAAGCGACTCAGCGGAGGACGAACTTTTTTTTGGTAGGGACGCGTGGAACAAACGTGCCGCATGATGAGAATAGGTGGGTTTTTAAAAAATTCTGAACTTTTTTTTATTGCTTGGCTAACTGCCTGTCGTTGTGAGGCCGCCCTGCGTTTGAGGAGAGCGAGTGCAGTTTCTTTTTCCTTTTCATTCCAGCCCCAGCCCCCACCACCCACACACGCAGGGAGCGCGGCGGTTGTGGCGCCCCGAACAAACTGCCACGCTTCGAGGCTCCTGCAGCCCCGGCAATTGCAAGGCGTTTTTCTTAATGCGTTGTTTTTTCACGAGTGTGTGTGTGTGGCGGGCGATTCCTGCGGTGCGTGGGGGCGTTGGGCGCGCAGAGCTAAAAGCTGCGAGCTTCCTTTTATTATTATTATTATTTGTTAGTTCTTAGGGAGAAGGGGGGATTGATTTTTCCTAGGCGGCACATTCGCCGTTCTTCTTCTTAGTGGCCGTTTGCCGGGGAGAGAGGGGGCGCGGCACTGTTTTGCCACCTAGCGCTCGGGGGCGACAGAAATGCACGGCAGCGTAGGAGGACGAGGGGGAAGGCATCCCTCGTGGGGATCGAGCCCCCGAGCACATGATTAAGAGCTGTGCGATTTACCGACC